AACTGCGGAGGTCTAGAACCATAATCTGGATATACATAAGAGGGATATAGTGGGTCATAAAAACTCACTTTGAGTCCTATGCCCGGATCGATGGCCGAACGGCCGAATATTTCAAAAGCAGTACCGATGCCCGGATGCCCTATTTTTAATAAACACACCCAGGGATGTGTTTTTGTTTTACGTACATATATATATACACATTCCCAAATCCAAATGATGGAATTTGAAACCCTGAATGGGATTTACTGTATATACGTATACTCTCTGGTTATGACTAACATAGCCATGGAAAATCACCATGCTATTAATAGGTAAACCATCTAGAAATGAACCATTTTCCATGGCTATGTTAAATAACCAGAGGGTATAATTAATATATACACATATTATAGTTAACAAAAAACGTTAGATACAGAGTTATACTGTGGATGGTTGCAAAAAACTGCACCAGTTGGTAACTATTGGGATTCCTATGAACCACTGTACATCATCCCACCAACTGGCGAGTTGGTTTTCGCAAACATCCACAGTATCTCCATGGCTATTAATATCTAGGTTAATCACTAATCACTAATTATTAATCATGATGGGGGTGTCCATAAATGGGGTACCCAGAAGTGGATGGTTTCTTTCATGAAAAATCCCAATCTAATAGCTGGATGATAACTAGGGGTACCCCCATGACTTCGGAAACCTCCATATCAATCACTCCTCAAGGCTGGTACACTCTCCGGGGCCTGTAGCAATAAATAGAAACTGTTGGCGTGTCTGCATGGTAACACAAACTCTGTTGGCTAGGGTTGGTAGTTAAAACCATTTATCCATTAATCAGATCAGTCATGGTAACTATATGATTATCTATTAGGAATATGATTACCACTACTACAAAGTGGGGCCCCCCAGTGATGTGAATGTTGCTTTATAAACCCCATGAATACTATTATAGTTATAAGTACCAACTTAGCTATCGCTTGGGGGCCCCACATTGTACAAGATGATACAAGATGTTAAAAACTCAAACAACATCAGAAAGTCTTGAATATGACGAGTTCCTAGGATTGCAACATTCCGAAAATGGGTACTAAGTACCCACAAAAACTGGCCATCTCATAGCAACATGGAGGGAAGATGCTTGTTCTGGCTAAATCATGACATGGTCAATCTTTGGTAGTCGAACAAAATTTGTCGTCTTTTGCTGGTTATGGTTATGTTCCATTTGCAGCAAGAAACTAAAGGATTACACTACCTATCCAAGGTTGGGGATGTTTATAAGATATAAAGTGGATATAAACCAAATGATTTTTGGGTGTGTATGACAATGGATTGTATACGCCCCTATTGAATGCAAACTTGAATGCGAAAATGATGATTGACCAGCGGATGGAATGCGCTATCCTATTCTCAAACAAACCACAAAAACATATTGGTTATATATATATATACCATTACATCCATATATACATATATATACATATATATGTATATATATATATATCCCCACTATGGGTGAATATGACATATATAATATATACATCCCCACTAGGAGTGAATATAAATCCCAATGTTTCTTGGTTTATCCATGTTTATCCCAATATATCACCAACCATTTTGGTTCCCGATATAAAACCCACTTTTGGGATACATGTGTATACCCGCAGATCTTCATGACAACACTGCACCATGTCCAAAATTAGGTAGGTACCGTGCAAAAAAAAAGTTTAGCAGTTTAGCTGAGTAGTACCCTCTGGTAAACTAACATCACTATGGAAAATCACCATTGTTAATAGGTAAGTAAACTATAAATGGGGCATTTTCAATAGTTATGTTAGTTTACCAGAGGGTAGATATCCGTTCCAACGTGCAAACATGTTCTTCTTTCAGTAGTGAACTACCCATCACCGGTTGGTTTAGTCATATGTTTCATGAACAATTCCCTACTTGGATGTGCATCCCACTTAGACAGTGGTTTAGAATCCATATATAACTATCAACTATAGAATCCCATACATAGTGGGCGATATTCCGCATATATATATAAAACTGGGGGTATATGCCATTTACTAAGTGGGGCCCTTTATCAGGGTCGATTCTTGGAAAACACACTTTCTATCTATCTATCTATCTATCTACGAAAACACTATCTATCTATCTATCTATCTATCTATCTATCCACCCATCCATCCATCCATCCGTCCATCCATCCATCCATCTATCTATCCATCCATCTATCTATCTATCTATCGATCTATCTATCTATCTATCTACCTATCTATCTATCTATCTATCTAACTATCTATATATCTATCTATCTATCTATCTATCTATCTATCTACAGTATCTATCTGTATATCTATCTACCTATCTATCTACCTATCTATCTATCTATTTATCATTTTTGTTACCTATCTAACATTATTTATCTATCTATCTATCATTATATATCTATCATTTTCTATCTATCTATCTATCTATCTATCATTGTCTATCTATCTATCATTAGCGTTATCTATCTATCATTATCTATCTTTCATCTATCCATTTATCTATCTATCTGCCTATCCATCCATCCATCCATCCATCCATCCATCTATCTATCTATCTACCATTATTTATTTATCTATCTATAATTATATCTATCACTATCTATCTTTCTATCATTATCATTATCTATCATTATCATTATCTATCTATCATTATCTATCTATCATTATCTATCTTTCTATCATTATCATTATCTATCTATCATTATCTATCTATCTATCTGTCTGTCTGTCTATCTATCTATCTATCTATCACTAGCGTGATCTATCTATCATTATCTATCTATCATCTATCTATCTATCTATGTATCTATCTATCTATCTATCTATCTATCTATCGATCGATCTATCGATCTATCTATCTATCGATCTATCTATCGATCTATCTATCTACCTACTTATCTATCTATCTATCTACCTATCTTTCTATCTATCTATCACTATCCATCACTATATATCATTATATATATATCATTATCTATCAGTATTTATCATTATCTATCATTATCTATCATTATCTATCATTAAATAAAAATTAGTGATCATTATCTTTCATGATCTATCATTATCTATCATGATCTACCTTGATCTATCATGATCTATCATGATCTATCATGGTCTTTCATGGTCTTTCATGATCTATCATGATCTATCATTATCTGTATATCCATCTATCCATCTATCTAACCATCTATCCATCTATCCATCTATCCATCTATGATATCCATCTATTATATCCATCTATTCTATCCATCTATCCATCTATTCATCTATCCATCTATCCATCTATCTATCTATCTGTCTGTCTATCATCTATTCATTTATTCATCTATCCATCTATCCATCTATCTATCTATCTATCTGTCTGTCTATCATCTATCCATCTATTCATCTATTCATCTATCCATCTATCCATCTATCTATCTGTATCTATCTATCTATCTACCTACCTATCTATCTATCTAGCTACCTACCTATCTATCTATCTATCTTATCCTATCTATCTATCTATCTATCTATCTCTATATATGTATATATGTATATGTATATATATAAATATTTAGAGGCTTCTTAAAATGGGGGAGCCCCGCGTCTCCGTGGGGGTTTAATACTAACTCATGGTCATCCATGACTTGGATGATGCTTTGGGGGCAACCATGGATGCCCCGAAATGGCCATGGTGGTTATATATCACGTGATATCTCAGAAAATATCCGTACAGGATGGTGCCCCCCAGTTATAAGTTGGCTTATAAACCCCATTAACTATAGGTCTATCTGCCATAAACCATAGTTATGGGAGTTATAAACCAACTTAGCTAACTATGGGGCACCACCTTGTATGATGATTGGTTTAAAAAAAACCGTTGTGTTTTTATATCGGTTTACCCCGAAAAAAATCCCCAACAAAGCCATCAAGGCCGGCCGCTTGCGCCTCGGCAATGTCTTTGCAGTGGTCCGTATTCATGTACTCAGCATTCTCCAAGATCGTCAACTCAGTGGCGTGGAGCCCCGGGAGTCCCCGGGAGCCCCAAAAATGCGTAAGAAGCTGCAGCAACAGAGGACTTGAAGCTGCATTCTATGGTTGATCTATGTTAATTAATACGTAATATGATAATATAATATAATTCCGTAGCCATTTTGGCTCAAGGAAGGTATCGGCTCAAACCGCCATTTTTTGAGGTAGTTTTGCGCTTTACCTTAGCGGGGATAATCCGATCTCTTCCCCGCGGGTTTCCATCAGCCATTGGTGCCGGCTCTTGGACTACCTTGTGAACTTGGACCAGGATTGAGGATTTGGACTTCTTCTGACTGACCTTTCATTCACTAAATTCAATTTCACATTTGCATTAGCTGTCTCGTCGTGGACCTCTTGCACTTGTATTACATTGACAATTCGATTCACTATTTCAATTTCTGGCGCTGCAGGGCCGACTACTGTTTTTGTGCTCGTTGATTAGCACTTATCAGCTAGCTGGTGGCGGTTGATCAGTTTTTAATTTGTTCTTCCAATTCAATTTCTTTCTCTGTCTGCATTAGCTGTCCGGTGACCTCTTGCATTCATTGATTGCTTATTTGTGAAATTTTTGCTTGCTGGCACTGCGGGGGCCGACCACCGTCTGCGTGTATATTGATTTATCTATACACTTTTGACAGGGCTGATCCTACAGATTGCACAGCTGGTAATTGGGTTCGTGAATGTGCTCATTTCTACTTCTGTTCCTTATTTTGATCGTGGTATTTACAAATTTACAAGATTTCGCTCAAGCAACAATCGGGAACGTTGAGACGCAGGGATCGGCGTCGAAGAGCTTCGGCAAGAAGACAGTGGTTCTTGCACAGGACTGGCAAAGTATCTTTGACAGTAGCATCATTGATCCGTGTCAGACATTTGGTTTCCAAGCATCACTCCAAAGATTCAATTTTCTTGAGCAGAATTTCTCGAGAGATTCAAGTGAGAATGTCAGGGGAAGAGGCATATCCTTGGGTTTGTCCTTGTGGCAGACTCAACAAGAAAAATGCAAACCAATGTGCCCTCTGTTGGGGTCATTGGTCGAAAGGCACCAAACACGATGTCACTCCCAAAGTGAAGACATATGGAGATGCTGCTCGTTGGAACAGCAGCTGGGATGGATGGGAACAAAATTGGGAAAGCTGGGAGCAAGATTGGGACGATTCAGAAAGTGTGGGTCGGTCTTCGAACTCACCAAGAGGACGCCAAATCCAGCAGATCGAGTACTCCCCCAGGAGCAGACCCAAAGGGAAGGGCAAGACAAAGGGAAAAGGCAAAGAGAAAATGAAAAGCGAGGCAACCGCCAGTCCGTTCGGAGCGGGAAAAGGTGGGCCCGCGCCTTTGCCTGCCTGGCCTGCCTGGAACAATCCAGAATTGGGAACATCTCCATTCCAGACTGCTCAGTCCAGCAAGAGCAACACCATGCAGGAAATGGCTACGCATTTGCGACTGGCATTCAAAGATCAAGAGGCTCCTGCAGATGTGCAGGCGTTCTTGGAGAAAGCAGAGAAAGAATACAGCCGCAACAATATCAAATCCTTGCAGACTGCAACGAAGAGCCTGGACCATGCGCAAAAAGCATTGAGGGATGCCGTCAACGCGAAGAAAGACCATCGTCTTCAATGGACAAAGCATGTGAGCGAAGGCATCAAGATTTGGGAGGCTCAGTTGGACAGTTACAGAGTCCATCAAGCTACCCTGTCCGAACTTGCAGCCAAAGCAAGGGCAGAAATAGACACCTCAAGACGAGTCTTGAAGGAAGTCAGCGAGAACACCGTGAAAGAGGGAAATCTCTCTATCCCTCAACCGATCCAGGAAGAAACCGAAGATGCTACAACGGACAACATCGTCGATGTGGAGGAGCAAAAGCTGCGAGATCAACTGCAAGGAGTGCTCAATGCATGTGCAGGATCTTTGGGCATTCAAGTTGCTGCAGCCGAACAACAAGTTCAAGAGGTGTCGGACGACGACAAAGATCATGGTCCACACAACAAAAGACCTCGGTCAGTGGAGCCAGCGAAGCCTGCGTCCACTTTCTCGAGACAGTGAAGTGCGGCCGTGAGTTTCCAGTTTTGAAAAATGGAGCTCATGAGGCCAGACCGCACATGTTTCCAACTTGCCATTCGGTGACGGGGGAAAGGAACTATTTAAGTCCTATTGCTGCCGTTTGGGATGCTTGGAGACTTCGAGGAGAGATTATCTCTCAAAGTTTTGATGACTGCTCAGACCATTCCATTTCGCATCATGGCGTTCCTTACTTGCAGGGTATGTCCCTCAAATCAGTGCTTTGCATTTCTCAGGAACCTCGAAATGTTCGTCGCAGGAAGCGTGTCCATTTTGATGATTGTATTGAAGTTGCAATGAGTACTGAGGATGACTGCCTGTTATATAGTACTGTTGTCCAGCATGGTGCTTTATATGATTGGTCTGACAAAACATGGCGTTACAGTCCGAAACCACCAAGCCGTCGGTTCTCTTGGAGGAAAATCACAGACCTTACATATCCGTTCTGCAATTTTGCTGACATCCATGATCGAAAAGCTGACATTGATGTTGTGCATGATGACTCTCCTCACAGTACTCCGTCAGCAGTTACTAGCGTGCCACATGATGATTCCTTGTTTGCCTCCCCATTTAGGGACAAGCTGAAGGATCGTGGACGTTGTGCTCACAATGAATGCAGACCAGAGATGTGTTTTTCAGTCCTGCGGGATATTACCAACCAGAACTTATGTGATTTCATGTCCACAGAAGGGCTGCAGGTTGCTCCGCTGTCTACCAAGGCCGTGTTGAGCTCGCTCCCTTCACAAAGCAGTTCGATCTCTAGAGTGATGTCTCAGGAGAATCATGTTCCGAATGCTGCATTGAGAGAAAATGACAACATTGACGAGTTATCGATTGTTCAAATTGGATCAGTCACTCCATATGCTTTCAAGAACTCGCCCATTGAGATGCAACAAGCTTTTCAGATGCATGGCATGCCTGGGGACCATGCGCATCATATGGAAGGCGTTGATGAGAGGCATGAAGAGTATGACGAGGGATCAGAGAGCCCATCTCCTGGGGATTCCTCAGACCCTGTTGAGGGTCACCAATCGGCAAACCATCCAGAAAGACAAGATGTTATTCTATTTCATCTTGCTGATCAGCCAGTCCGCTCTTTTCTCAACTGGAATAGTTATGAGGAAATGATGACAGAAATTGCTCATCACTACAGTCGAAGACGGGAAGAGATTGAAGAGGCCTATGAGGTAGTTGTTTCACCACCTGATCTCGGAATTGAAGTTGTTCCAGTGATTGTGCATGTCTTTGGCGACATTCCTCCTGAAAGCAATGACAGGCTGGTTTTAGTAGACATAGAATATCACGCACATCGAATAGAAGGACATTTCCGTAGTGGCCCGACAGTTTCCCGTTCTGTTCAGCCGCTCCCAAGCACGGCATCTCGACATGACGTTCTCTATCGCAGCAATGTTGATAGGTATTGCCGTTTAGAGAATGGAAGGTGTCTTGTTTTTATTAATTCCAGAAGATGGCCTGACTATGACCTCGACAGGAAAGTCATTGCACACGGTGACTACATCAGGATCGCAGTGCCACCGTCAGACAGATTTGCTTGTTCCACAACTGCTATTTCTGATATGACTCAGCGAGGCTTTTCAGATCAACAAATCTTGGATGAGATTCACAATGAGGATGCAGCTTCTGGTTTTTCTCCAAGCCTGTTAGGTGAAGACGAAATGAGAAGATTGGCAACAGATGCACATGCAGACACTGATGATTTTCTGTTGATGCAAAGATCACTAGCTGACAATCACACAGATCCAAGGTTTGATGGAGGTCCAAGGTCCAGCAGTTCGGATTCAGATGAAGTTCTGCAAGATTGGTATGTTGACCTTCAGCGACTCGTGGAAGCTCACTTTCAGCAATGTGGAGAAACTCAACAGCAAGATTTCATGTTCTCAATCTACACGTGGTTCATTGATCAAGAAACGGCAAATCTTTGCCGAGAACCGAAAATAGCTATCCTAGGGGAGGACCCTGCGGAATGGAGAGAAGATATCTTGCTGCCTTGGGAATACCATCTTGTTCCAGACAATTCAGTGCTCATTGATCTTGCGCAGCCTTTTGTACCGAGAGCCAGTGTTGAAGAACACATCGCTCATGTTATTATCACGCAGAGACCAGTCAACTTGCGTTCAGTCTTATTCTCCATGGAATTTGTTGACGAGGTTGAATCCAGCGTGATTGTAACTTTTGCAGCGGCAGTTCCAAACATTTGCAATGCTCGGATGCTGGCGGATCATGTACCACTGTTTGATGCATTCTTTAGAAACAAAAGAAAGTGGGTCTACCCCGAGGAGAGTGAAAATGATCCAACAATCAAAACAAAGTTTGGGCTCGGAATCCGTGTACAGATCTTTCCAACTGTACTTGACGATGCCAGCGACATTTCCGATGACAACAGCATGATTCAGAACCCGAGCTCTGGCTGTTGTATTTCGGCACGCTCATTCCATTCAACAAGCCGACAGCCACTGGGAGGCAACCATAGTGGTCCCATGCCGCACATTGCAAATTTCAGCCTCACAGAGGAGTTTATCAGGTACGTGCAAGCTGTGGGTGCACAAACTGCCCAGGATGATGCCTTCCCTGATTTACCTGAAGGTCTCAGTGATCAACCAGTATGGGTTCAGGACCTGTGGGAAAAATGGGCTGAGACAGTTGCACAGAATGGTGGTGACCCACAGTCAGGTTTGCGCCTGGAGACGTGGTTTACCAACCCACGCAGATGGACCAGATGCGAGCATTCACGGGTGGTAGTGCTTTCTAGCAACTTTCAAATGTGGGAGCGAGAGCTCTTAGGGGCTTGGCATGACCGTGCTGAATTAGCTTTGCCCACTCAATTTGCTATTGTTTTTCCTACGCCTGAGGATGTAGATCGCACAGTTCAAGAACAGCTTGTCATTGAACAACAATCAGAGCCGTTCTCCAGAACTGTTGTTGTGACGGTTTGCGACACTTTTCGCAGCTACGGAAAACATGGGTCCATTGCCTTGGTTGTTTCAGATCAGCTCAATATCTACTCTTTGAGTACCTTGCTTGGTTATTCCGAGATTTGCTCGCCTGAGCGTGAAGACAACGAATGTTTGCTCTGGATGGGGAATATTGCTATCCGACCAGATCAAACCTTACAGGTGCGCACAGGCAATGCTCTCAGATTCCTTGTTAACCTTACAGGTGCGCACAGGCAATGCTCTCAGATTCCTTGTTAGGCGAGGCATTCGTGTTAGTATTCCAGAATTACTTTCCATGACAGATCAACAACTACGCAATGAATTGCGAGCAGCGATTGGAGGGGTCATCTTCAGGAGGCCCAATGTTCAAGGGTTTCCCGCTGATCCTCACTCAGCAAACAACCCTGGCTCTTCGTCAAGCCCTGCACATCCTCCTGCTAGTGCATATCCTCCGGAATGGATCAATCAACTTCAAGAAGTTTTTGACAGGCACGCATTTTTGGAACACACCGATGAGGGGCCAGTTATGTATGTGCTTGTTTGGTTTGTGCAAGGCAGGGTACGACACTTCAATGACTCGCCAAAAGTTGTGCGAATTGATGCTGACAATCAATGGTGGCAAAGTGAGCTTATTTTTCCATGGCGGGAACAGTTCACACGAGGGGCCCCGATGGAACTGCACTTTGTCGACCCAATGCCGCCTTCGCACCCATGGCAATCGCATGCGGCGCATGTTATTGTAGTCCAATCATTACCTGAAGAGCATGTTGCTGTGTTGGCTACATCAACTGAGCATGCCGAATCGAATCGTCCAGTTTCACAGGCTGCCATGATTGTTCATCGTTTTTCAGGTATCGGTGACTTTGTTGATCGAATGGTCACGTCGGATGTCCCTATGCATTCAATAACGGTCAGGAGAGGTCGACTCTCGTTCCCAAGCGACCGTACAGTTCGATTGGGCTCAGGTGATGGCATCGTGATTGGAATGCCTCCAGTACGCAGACGACCGAAGGTGAAGCCAGCAACACAATTGCTGGTACGCATCCTGACGTTGCAGTTGGTGGTTTTTCAGATCAGCATGAGACAACCGTGCCACAGGCGGATGACCTGGATGAACAGGAAGACGATGACATGACTTCGATGATGCAGTGGCCACGTGAGGACCACCATTTTTCACAGAATGTTGCCGCTATAGAACAAGGAAAAGATGTTCAATCTTTGCAAGGCTGTAATGGGGTTGAAAGAATTTCAGTTGCCTGCACTCAAAACCAGGCTGCAAATATTGCACCAAATGATGCGCTAGGGATCAGTTCTTCAGTCCCTTCGGAAACGGACTTCTTTCAATTCAATCTCGATGTACCTGAGTTCTTGCCTAATATTGCTCTGCCAGAATGGGAACAGGTCATTGAGGACATCTATCATGTCTGGGATATGCAGGCTTTCGCATGGCAAGGAGAGTCACGTGCGACTCACTTCATGACATGGCACGTTGCTCCCACGGTCGGACGGATTCAGTGTCTTTATGGAAGGAAGATTGCTCTGTTTGCCGACTTTTGGAATTGGAGAGAACAATTCCGACGAAAATGGGAAGACGAGCTTGACCAGGCGGCCGACTTCCAGCTTGTGCTTGTCTCGCCACCACCGACACAGATGGAATCTGGTATTGCAGGGCATGTGATTCTCATTCAACACAATGCGCCTGAGTGGTCGTCATTGATTCTCACAACTTTTGACCCTGCAATCAACGGGGGACACCCGTTCCACAGAGCATTCTCGTTCACAGAACAACTGCAACTTCAGGACGTGATTGAAAGAATTGGTTACACGCTTGAATGTGCATATCATGCTCAATGTGTTTTCAGGCCTAGATCTCAGTATTTAGCTGCCAACGATCGCATTAGAGCCACGGACGGAGATGCCATCGATCTGATCGTCAACCGACACTTCTTTCCAGCGCAATGGAATCCTCCATTCATTCCGCATGCACCTGGAGCAGAGGGCTTAGAACTCTTGCAGAAGAAAGTGACAGTACGGAGAAGCAGCACCAGCACAAACCCGGAAGGGTTGCAGGCTCATGCGTATCAGCGACGTACTATCTCCCTTCATCAAGCCATTCAGGTCACTGACAGAGATGTGGAAGGGTCTCCTTTTACGCTTGCACAGTTCCTCAACCAACAGGACGTCAAGCAGTCTGATATTGTGGTGTGTGTATGGGAGCTCAATAATGGCCGCAATCAGTTTGAAATGCACCCACAGCAGGGTTTTGATACTGAGACAATTCGCCAAGACTTCCGTGTAAAACACCAGTTGATTCAAGATTGTTCCGACCTGCACTGTGTCAAGTTCACTCGCGCATCATGGAATTTCAAGCCTGGTAGCTGGCGAATCGGGTCCATGTTTCCATTGCCTGTAAATAAGGCCCTTGTCGCATGTGTTGTTTATCACCAGGGATTTGCTTCAGTCAAGGTTGTTGCACTTCCATGCAATATCAGAACAAACTTGCTTCGAGATGTCCTACATGTGATTCATGGCTCCATGGTACGTGTCAATGGGCTTATCCTTGGAGATTCTGTTCAATTAGTGAATGGTGACGTCATCGAGTATCACAGTTCTGACCATGCTCAAACATTTCAACTCAATCCTATGAACAAAAAAGTGGAAATCTGTCTAGATGCCACTATCACTACGCATAGGCCTGAGTTTGATGAGGATGGCATTGCATATGAGCTGCTCCCAGGTGCTGGTCTCAAAGATCAGTTAGAATGTGAAGACTCCTGGAAATTTTGCCCTATCCCAGAAGGTACCGATTTGCATAGGGAAACCTATGAAGCCCTACACGCCCAACATGAATGGCAGGATGACACAATCATTGCGCATGAGCTATATGTCGACGGAGCCACCTTTGGCCCATTGTCGGCCTGGGCTGTGGTGGCAGTTGCAGTTACTGAATCCGGAAGAGTTTTCAAAGGCTGCCTCGGGGATGTCACCGAAATCGACAAACAATCTCCAAAATGGATCGGTGCCAATGGGCACACAAACATCGATGCAGAACTCAC